ATGTTATTTGGTGATGATAGTGGAGATATGTTATTTTGGTTTTTCATGTTGTCATTCTTTCTCTGTGATTTTGCCATTTGAATTTCTTTTGTAGTTTCTGAGCTTGTATGAGACTCAAGCCTTCAAGTTTAGGTCTGCTTCTTTTCTGTAAACTTTATGTGCCTTTGTGGTTTACTTTTGGGGCATGAAAAGCTAGTTCATCCAAGCTTCCGGTTCTCTCTCTTTTGATTTTTATATTGGAGTGGCCAGATTGCTTTTGTCTTCAGGAGTTCCCACAGAAGCCCAAGTCAGTTGAGGATCAGATGCTGTCAGGCTTTCTCCAAAGGTCTGGATCCCTCAAGGAAAAATTTTGACTTCAAGGATTTGGGGGTTGGACTGGCCTGGGAGCAGGGCCCAGGAAAGATGCTGGTCTAGGGCAGCTGGTAGCTGTGCCACCTAGCGATGCAAAGGGAGATGGAGGTGGGAAGAGACCCCAAGGGCTCCTGGAGACTGCACTGAGTAGCTGGGTTGGTCTGGATACACAGGATCAGGAAGCCAAAAGGTCAGCCCCCATGTACAGGAAAGAGGGTGGCAGGGAAGCAGAAGGAGGTGAGGATGGGACCAGGCCCCGAGGGCTCCTGGGAGAGAGGCTGGTGGGTTGTGCAGTCCAGGGAAGCAGAGGGAGGTGAGGGCAGGGCCAGGCTCAGAGGGCTCCTGGGGACCTCAGAAGGTACTGGGTTGGTCTGGGTGCAAAGGATCAGGAATCAGTGGTGGTTCCCCTGGTGCCTGGGATGCCAAGACAAGGAATGGGACAGGTCCCAGGCTAGGAGGAAAGACGGGCCAGGGAGATGGGAGGGTGAATGAGGCTGGGTGAGTCAAAGCATGGAGGGTACAATTGACTTACCCTGGAGAGAGGCCTGTAGAGAGAGAGGCCTGTGGGTCGTGCAGGCCCAGGGAAGCAGAAGGAGGTGAAACTTACTTTTAAGAGGATTCTGGTACAAGGTTCAAGTATCTTAAGCCATTGCCCTTCCTAATTCTCGTCTGTTCTCTTTCCATTGTGACCATGGGAAACATCTCAACCCTCATCCCCAGTCATTGTTTTTGTTAATTGTTAAGACATTGTGTTTTTAGAAAATTGGTTTCAAGTTTGTATAATTGTTACTTGCAGGGTATTACAGGCAACAAGGGCCTTTCACACAGGGCAGCCATGTCTCACTCCTGTACCACCTCTTCCTGAATATGGAGGAAAAGTACGTCTTGGGCTGATCCCTGAAGAATTCTTCCAGTACCTTTATCCTAAAACTGGTGTGACAGGTGAGTATTTGACCAGTCTTTAGTAATATATTTAGATGATACCACTCAAATCAAGTCATCCCTTTTTTCAAAAGAAATTTTAGTTAGAGGCAAGTGTCTCTCTCTGAAATTGAGGCTATGCTGGTCTACATGGCAAGTTCCAGGCCAGCTGGGGCTACAGGGAGACCTTGTTTCAAAAAAGGAAAATTCCATATAATGATGAAAACAGTTTCTCTGACTTGTCATTGAAATGAATTTGTTTTGGATTTTCATTTATTTTTATAGTATTGTTTCCATTTGCAAGCCTCTTTGGGGGCCTGCTTGATGCCAGGCATTATTCTAACTGTACAGTGATAGGCGAAGTGGACTAAGTTATGAGTCTGCCGTTGTGGAACATGTATTGTTTTATAAGATAAACAATAAAGAAATTAGCTGTTTTATATACTGTCAGATAATAAAAAACTATGGATAAAAAAAAATAAGGCGGTAGAGGCTATTATTTTGTGTGTTGTGTGTGGATGCACACACACACTTGAAAACAAATAAATAGGACCATCTTTATCAGTTCTTATAGAAAGGCATAAACTTTCAAAACCATGTATTTTTATAATGAATATGATTTCACTTTCATGGTTTAATCCTTAATCTCATGAAAACATTGTTTTTTTTCTTTTTTCTTTTTTTGGTCTTTATGAGACAGTGTCTCCCTGTAATCCCAGTTGTCCTGGAACTCACTGTGTAGACAAGGCTGGCCTTGAACTCACAGAGATCGCCTGCCTCTGCCTCCGAGTGCTGGGACTAAAGGTGTGTGCCACCACGCCCAGCTTCCTTTTTTTTTTTTAAATTATTTATTTATTTATTTTGAGATAAGGTCTTCCTGTAGCCCCAGCTGGCCTGGAACTTACAGATCCACCTCCCTCTGCCTCCAAATGCTAGATCATGAAAAGATAATTTGCAAGGTTTTATTAAACCCTCATTTGTAACCAGCTGGATCGCTTCTCAACCTTTTGGCTAAGATCAAGTGTAGTAACCAGCAGGATTGGAACCTAGGTCCCTTGATTGAGTTGACATTCTCGTACAGTACATACTGTCTTTCTTGGTATGTCCAAATTTTTGCTCTGACCACAGAACATTGGAAGCCCAAGATTTGTTTTTAATTCAAGTGGCTGAAAATAGCATTTCCTTAACTGAAAGTGAAAAAAAGTGTTTTCAGATATCCGTAAATGACTAAATTCTTAATAGGCCTTTTATAGTCATAATTACAATTTACATACCAAATGCAGCAAAAATAAAAAACCTGAACTTTTCAGAAATCTGGATACAATATACTTGAGACTGTAGCTCTTACTCTAGTAATATATCTTAACATTCTTTGTTATTGCTGTTAATTAGACTAAAATGTTTCCCCTACAAGCCTTCTGTATCCCAGCCTAATAACATCTGTTAAGACAACAAGGAAAACACCAAAGAAAGAAAAAAAAAATATATGTTCCAAATCATGGTTTATATCCTTTCAGAATTCATGGCCTGGTTAAATAAAAAAGAGAACTGTATTGGCAGTATTACAGTTCATTGCCTACAGAAATTGAGGATTGTAATATTCAGTACTTTTTGCATGCATATTTGTAGTTTTTTGCTTATTTCCCATATCATTACTATTTTAGTAAAAATAGGCAAGAATGGATAGATTTTTGTCCTGTCCTATATTTCAATAAAAAGGAAGTTTTGCTGGGCAGACTTCTTTAGAAAGGACCCTGATGTCTTTATAGAGTTGTTCCTCTTTGTTGATCTGTTTTCCCTTTGAGGAAACAAAGTTCAGAGATTAGTATGATTGCTGTTTCTGATAGGTTGTAGAGTCATGCATGGTGCAGCTTTCCTTCAGTTCAGATGTTTCTTCTTTTTTTAGGGTTTATTTGATTATTTTTAATTAATGTATATTGAGGGGGTACATGTGATTGCGAGTGCCTGTGGAGGTCACATAGATCCCTTTAGAGCTGGAGTTATTGGGGGTTGTGAGGCCCCTCCCTATGGGAGGGATCAAACTGAGGTCTTCCAGTAGAGCAAAAAGCACTCTCAGTCACTGAGCCATCGTTCCAGCTCCTACATACTGCTTCTTGATCTGGTGATAAGTCTTTGAATCTGGCTGTTTTAAATCTTTTTTTTTTTTAACTTTGCCTTAAAGATTGGAGAGATGGCTCCACAGTTAAGAGCACTGGCTGCTCTTGCAGAAGACCCAGGTTTGAATTCCAGCACCCACATGGTAGCTAGCAGCCTTCTGTAACTCCAATTCCAAGGGATCTGAGACCCTCTTCTGTCCTCAGTGGGCATTGCAGACACTGGTACACTCACATGCAGGCAATACACTCATACACATAAAATTTTAAAAATTTCACTTTGCCTTCAAGTAATCAAACTCAGAAGTATCTTTTATCTTCTCCCTTTTAGGCTTAACATTTGAAATACAACTCTTTCTTCTTTTAGGACCCTACATGCTTGGAACTGGGCTTAGTTTGTATTGTCTATCCAAAGAAATATATGTGATCACCCCAGAGACCTTCTCCACCATAGCAGTAGTAGGATTAATGGTTTATGTCATTAAAAAATATGGTGCTTCTATTGGAGAATTTATCGATAAGCTGAATGAGGTAAGAATTATAAACTCTGTTACCATTTTAGACTACAGCAAAAACACCGCCGTCATCTAGTGATAGTACATGAGTGTTAGAAGAAAAACTACCAAGTCTAGTTAGAGGGATTACAGTTGTGTTGATGTTAGTAATTTGAGATAAAATTTACATCTGCTGAACTCTTCATATTTTTCTTAATCTTTTTTACCATTTCTAAGAACCAAAATATACTTACTTCAGACTCTTAAGTTAAAAAAAAAAAAAACAAATTTATACATGTATGAAATTGTCAGACTAAATTTTTTAGAATATTTAGTTGGCTAGGTGTAATAGCACATGCCTTTAATCTTAGCGCTGTCAGTTGGGATAAATTGAAACAAACAGTATTTCTTGGGAATAAAAAAAAATTAAGTTTCTGTTTTTGTTTGCTTGGTTGTGGGGGAAAGAGTGTCTCATGTAGCCCAGGCTAACCTCAAACTTGACTATGTATATAGTCAAAGCTGGCCTTGAATCCCTCTCAAGTGCTGGGGAGCAGGGTGGCTCTTTTTTTTTTTTTTTTTTTTTTTTGAATTTTGGTACTGGGGATCGGACCTAGAACATTGTGCATGCTAGGCAAATGCTCTACCACTGAGCTCCATCTCCAGCCCATGATATCATTTTGTTTGGTCTTTTCTGTAGCATCCTGAGTTTGAGAGACTATGTACTTGAATTAGGCCACCCCTATTTGTGGGTACAGAAGCTTGGTGGCCTCCACTTCCCCAAAGAACAGCCTCAGGTATGTACCCTGACCCTGCCTCCTCAGCTGAGGAACCATACCTCTCCTAGGTAGATTCCAGAAAGGCCTTTGGGGCTTCTTAGGGTTTTGATCTAGCAGAATGCCTTCTTTTGAGGCTGTGATCTGTCTTCCATCCACTAAAATGTCCTAGCCTCTTGCCCTGGGTATGGCATAGATCAGTAGGTTCTGCTGTCCTTGGACTGATGCCACAAATGAAAATAGGCAGTTTCCCAGGGGCCAAACACCTTAGCAGAAGTCTGCCTTGTCTCAGGAACTAGTCACAGCCTCAAAGAGACAGTCTCAGGGTCTTCCTATAGCCTCCCAACTGGCCTGGAACTCACTATGTAGACCAGGCTTGCCTCGATGTCTGAGATCCACCTGCCTTTGACTCCCAAGTGCTGGGATTAAAGGCATGCACCCAGCTGTACTACTATGTTTTTATTCCCTAAAGGTTCATACATGGACTTTGATCGTATTTACTTTACCCCTCATAACCCTTTCTCCCTCTTCCATTCCTGTTGAACCCTTTCCTCCCAGCAAGTCCCCTTCCTACTTAGAATTTCTGGTTTTATTTGTGACTTACTGAGTTTAATTAAGGTTGCTTGCACAAGCATAAATGGGTTATTTACTAGAGCAAGGGGCAACTTACCTATGGCTAGACCACTGAAGAAAGTTACTCTCCTTCCCCCAGCAACCTTTAGCTGTCTGCCAAAAGCTCCTTAGGGATGGGTGGGGCTTCACGAACCACCCCCAATCTGTTGACCCCCTCAGTCGTGCAAGTAACCACAGCTGCTGTGAATTCATTAGTATAATAATCATGTTATGTCCAGAAGACAGCATTTCACAGCCCTCCTTCCCATCCTCCAGCTTTTAGTTTGCTTCTACTCCCTCAGTATTTCCTGAGCCTTGGAAGAAGTAATATGGTAAATGTCACATACACAGCATTCAGACTGGACTGAGCACTCCCATCACTTATTCACAGCATTTCAGTTAAGGAGTCTGTCACAACCATCACCAGTAATAACAAGTTTCTCTGACCAAGACTAAGGGTAGCACTAATTTACAGGTGTATACATAAATATTCAAAAAGCAATTTGATACCATATCCATTTAGCAAACAACAGCACTAATTCTTCCCCGCCCCTTCCAAGAGCCTGTAACCTCCCGGCCGTGGGCTTTTGACTGTATTTACAGTACCATTCATGAGTAGTCTCTCTTGTGGAATGGACCTCAAATTCAATCAGAAACCGGTTGATTACCCATATAATGGTCATTGCACTATTGTGCCATTGGACATTTCTTGCCTGGAAGATTGGTATTATAGCTTGAAATGTTCCAATCTAGCTAAATCCACTGATGACTTTTCTCTCCTGGCAGCCTACACAGCACCTTCTGGCATTGTGAAATCTTGGCCAGCAGAGGGGAAGCTTCCATCTCAGTTCCATCTTGATTTCTCTGCCCTGCAACTACATGTGGTGTCCTTGGCAATAGGATCTTAACCATGTAATTCTTTTGGGCAAACAAGAGCAATGGCAGTACCCTGTATTGCTTTGAGGCCCCTTACCAACAACTCATAGGAATGTACATCATATCTGGCGCTTGGCTTTTTGTTAATTACCTATGGTTTCTGAGAGCAGCAGTATCCCCCTGTGCAGGGTACCTCTGCTCAAGCTCTTTATAGAATGGTATGTTTCCACATGGCTTTTTCGTACATTCTTAATTTTGGTTAACCCTACCCCCTCCTTCTTTAGTCTTTTTCATTCAGCATGATACTATATAGAACGATATGTGCACTTCCCCCTATGTGTGGGTGTTTTCACAAATGAAGGTTTACTGAAGAAGCATAAAATGAATGTTTTTAGTACCATTAGTGACTTCACTGACCATTGTAATAACATAATTACAGCAAAAAATTGCTCAGCTAGAAGAAGTAAAGCAGGCAAGCATCAAACAAATCCAGGATGCAATTGATGGAGAGAAGGCGCAGCAGGCGCTGGTTCAGAAGCGTCACTACCTTTTTGACGTTCAGAGGGTAAGGTCATTTGTTTGAATTTCATATATGCAAACTGTATTTACATCATTTGCACCCTTCTTCCCCACCTCCAGCTCTTTCCCCGGTCCCTCTATCCACTCCACCTCAATTTTGTGACCTCTAATCAATCTGTTGTGTTGTTCTTTTGTGGATGCTGTGGTCAAGGCAGGATGCTGAGGGGGATGGGGGAGGCAAGAAAACATGCTTTCATGTTTTCTTTTGTCTACATAAAAAAAAAAAAATCACACCTCAAAGGGGATAAGAAATAGTTTGTTCTACCAAGAGGCACTCCTCTCACCATTTGAGCCGCTTTGGGGAGGTCACAGGATCTGTATTTGAGTGTGGACTTCACGGCATAGCCGTTAATATGGGAAGCCCACCCTTCTGTAAATAAACCCCTACCCTATGCTCTGTTAAAAATGATAACTAAAATATTCTTTTAAAAGACGAAATAGTTTATTCTAGAGCCAGATATGGACTGTGGCCTGGGAATACAGATATAAGTTGTCCCAACTACTACATTCCAATGTAATAGTTTCATGGAGTTTTGGTTAGGCACATACATTGGTGGAAACATTTAGTGGGCAGGTTACAGCAAAGCAAGGAAATCTGTACTTTAGGCCTTGGATATACAATCAGATGAAGATACTTGGGACTTTGGGTTGGTGGGACCTAGGGGTCTGTATACATTCCAAAAGAAATGTCACAAGGATGTTGGGCCCCACACAGAGGTGGGTAATAGATGGCACTTTAGGGGCTAAGATAATCTAAGATAATTTAGCTCTGGATCAGCAACTCGTCACTGAAATTTTAAGTGTTTAGAAAGATAGTAAACCTAGAATTAAAGCAAAAGACATTGCAGAAATGAGGAACTATTATTTTATGGGGAAGTTGGGAAAGGTCTCTGATGTGAACAGAGACCTGCAAGAAGTAAGAGTACAAGTTGTATCAAATAACAATACAACTGTTGGTTTCTGGGGAAATAGTGATCAAGGCAGAGGAAAAGCAGCTGAAGTTGTTTTCTGTAATCAAGGAAAAGTCAAGATGCCAGCATAGCTAAAGTACAACAGGTAAGTGGAGAATTAAAAGGAAGCAAGAAGAGCAGAGCCAGGTGCTGCAATACATAGTTCCTGCTTCTGTAAGGACTCGACCTACCTAAGATGCGTTACTGTTTTCAGAAGTCGACATTTTGGCTATCTTATTGTAAATAGCCTTTAAATAGGTTTGGGATGCCTTTAAATAGGTTTAAGAACAGATCCTTAACATGGGCTTTGTAGCCAGATTAACTATTCAGATCTTGGCTTCACAGTTCATTCCATAGCCTTGGGCAACTTCCTTAACTTTTGCCTTGGTTTCTCTGTAAAATGGATATACTGATAACCCATGATGTGCTTATAAAACTTAACTGAATTGGCACAGATTTAAAACGTAGTAGGTTCTCAGTAAACGTGAGCTATCATTTAAGTATTCAAACATTAATACAAAGACAAATATATACAGCACCATTTATAGTAGAAAAGATTGGCAGCAACGTAACCTTACTAGACCATCGTTAATGTGAATCGTAGGACACCACAATAGGGAAATCCAGAGTAGCTTAGAATCGAAATGAGTTTGTATATCATAGTAAAAGTAACGTGTGTGCATGCATAATCTGTTGTGTTCATTAAATATTTCTGGGAAGAAATATAAGAAATACAGGGAAATGATAGCTTATGCCCATGCTTCTAAATACATATTTTTTTCAACACTTGCTGTTTTAATTTTTGGTATATGCATATATGCCTAGCATATTAAAAGATGTTCACAAAAATTACAAGCAAGAAATGGGGAATGCTAATAGGCAAAGTCCTCAGAAGAGAGGTATTCCTTTTTGGGCAAACTGTTCACCATGGTCTTAATTTTCCCTCAGAATAACATTGCCATGGCCTTGGAGGTCACTTACCGGGAGCGGCTACATAGAGTATATAAGGAGGTGAAGAATCGCCTGGACTATCATATTTCCATGCAGGATATGATACGTCGAAAGGAGCAAGAACACATGATAGACTGGGTGGAAAAGCAGGTGGTACAGAGCATCTCTGCACAGCAGGTACACGATCTTTTGTAGCTTCTGAAGTTGGACTGTATCATGTGCGACAAGCATGCGTTGATACTTTTTCAGGAAGAAAGAGCTGGCAAGGAGTCTGTAACCTAAGAAACAGGTGACTCTGGGTTTGGGGGTTTATTATTAGTTGTTGTGTATGTGGGTGGCTATGTGTGCCATTGTGCACGTGTGGTGGTCAGAAGATGACTTGCAGGAATCAGTTCTCTTCACCCTTTGGATCCCAGGGATCGATCCTACTCAGGTCTTCAGGCTTGAAGGCAAGTGCCTTTATCACCATCTCATCAGCCCCTGGTGTTGGTGTGCCGGTCTCTGTCTCTCCGTGGCTGGGAGTGCAGGCAGGCTCTGCAGGTCGGCGGGTCCGCGGTGGCCGTGGCAAGTGCAGACTCTGCGCCAAGCTGCAGGGGGCTCTGCGCCAAGCTGCGGGAGGCTCAGGCTAGCTGCGGGATGCTCTCACTGTGCCCGCGGGACGTTGGCCACCGTCCCACGAGCCAAGGCAGGGAGCGCAGGAACGGCGAACGCAGAAGCTTCGCGAGTGAATGTTGACGGAAGGACAGCTTCTTCCTGGAAGACTGAATCACAGGCTGGTCCCAGGCGCAGTGAAACACAACTCAGCTCCAGACAAATTCAGTGATACAACTCCGCTTTATTAGGGTGAAACTAGATTTATAGTGTGGAGGCAGTAGCAAAAGCCTCAGCTGATAGGTGCTCTGTAGTATGCTTTATTTACATGTGGCAGTGGGCTTTTATGCTGTCAGACAGTGCCTGATTAAAACCTGGTAGTTTCTATGCCAGAGGTCATGTTTCCAATAAGGCATCTGTGGTGGCCACTTCAAAGTGAGCCAGGAAGAGAGTAGGAGGCGCCCCGCTGAAAAGGGGAGTCTTTCCATTAGGCGCTGAGCCAGCTAGCGGCTATCTGGACATGGAGAGACTGCGACCCTAACAGCAGGGTTCCCCAACACCCTGGCTTTTTTTTTTTTTTTTTTTTTTTGATGAAAAATCTAAAGATCCTGCACAAATGCCATGAAAGCTTTCCACTCAGTATTTGTTTAGCAAAGATTGCCCACCTGGCAGGACAAAGGCACTAGAAAAGCCACTGAGAACCTACTGGTTGTGAAACCCTTGCCTATGTTCTCTCATTTGGCTGGGTGCCAGTAATCAATGCATTTCTCTAGAGCACAGTGTTAAACACATTCCATGTCTTTATTTTCAGCTTTCAACAGAAGTATTTTCTATTGAATTGTATTTTTGGTGTTTAATTTATGTATTATTATTTGATCCTTCTCAGAGTCATAGTATATTTAGACATTTCTAGACCTTTTCTGCATAAAACAGAATTCGGAAAACCGGGCGTGTCACAATTTGATGGATTATAATATGTATCCTTTTGTTTTGGGTTTTATTTTTTTGTTTTGTTTTTTTGAGACAGGGTCTCTCTGTGGCCCTATTTTTAAATGTAGAAAATACCAAAAAAGTATAGAAAAGACTGATAATTTTTATTCTTAGCATTTCTATATTACTAATGGTTGTTGATTAGCCTTTTTAAAGGATCTGTCATCTACAAAAGCATCATGTACAGGTGGTTATAAGAATGTCTGACCTCAAATTATTTGTAGGTTTTACTCATAAAAGCTGTGAGCCAGAAAATTTTAACACTTAATATTTGCTTTTAAAATAAATTGCATCTCCCCTGTGTTATGTAATTAATGTATTAATTTCACCTCTAAACGTTTCTAGTAAGCTTTCCATATTAAGCCAATAAGTTCTGGTCTATTGAGAACTGTCTCGTAAAATTATGGTATTTAAATGCCAAGCGTGGGGGCTGGAGAGATAGCTCAGCAGTTACGAGCACTGACTGCTCTTGCAGAAGACCCAATTTCAGTTCCCAGCACCCACATGCAGCTAACAACCATCCATAACTCAAAAAGAATAAATAAAATGTTTTTTTAAAAAGATGCCAGGCGTGGTGGCGCATACCTTTACTCCAAGCACTCTTGAGTATCAGGCCAGCTGGGGCTACAGGGAGACCTTGTCTCAAAAAAAAATTTTTTTTACTTAAGGTATTTATACCCTTCCATGTTCTTATAAGGCCTAACTAGATTTTTCTTTCCTTTTCACAGGAAAAAGAGACAATTACCAAGTGCATCCAAGATCTGAAGCTACTTGCAAAGAAGGCTCAAGCACAGCCTGTGATGTAGGTGTATCTGTCGCAATTGAGACATCCAGAAACAGTTAACTAATGGAAATTTGTCTGCGAGACAGTTTTTCTGTATTGCTGTCTATTGAAATTAGTGTACCTTTCCTAAGACATCTTCAAGGTTCATCTAGTGAATTAAATCTCTTGGCCAGTCAGATATTTCTGATCCTTACTCTGTAATTTGGACTTGGTGCCTGACTAAAATCACCAAGTTACAGTTTAAATTTATAATTATACTGTCTTGCAATAAAGTGAGAATTGAAACAATTTTAAGTTTCATGTTCTGAAATATTAGCTTCATTTGTTATATGAATAAAAAAATAAAGGTGTCATTGAGGACTGGGAGATGACTCCATGTGTAAAGGGTGTTGGCATGCAAGCATGAGGACCTGAAGTCAGATCTCAAGAACCCTTGTAAAAGCTGGGAACAGTAGTAGCACACGTCTGTAATCCCAGCAGTCCTATAAGGAGAAGCAAACAGGAGACTCCCTGAGGGGTCCAGGATTCGGTGCAGAACAGTGAACAGACCCTGCCTCAAACAAAGTGGAAGGCATGGATGGACACCGGGGCTTGTCATCTGACCTCCATACATGCTGACAGACATGGGCCAGACCCACACTTAACACACGTTATAAAAATATTAGAAAATAAAAGTCATAGCCAGGCGTGGTGGCACACACCTTTAATCCCAGCACTCAGGAGGCAGAGGCAAGCAGATTTCTGTGAGTTCAAGGCCAGCCTGGTCTACATACCGAGTTCCAGGACAGCTGGGCGCTATAGGGAGACCCTGTCAAAAAAAAAAAAAAGTGAGAAAAGAAAAGTCATTGAACTAATAGCTTGTTTATGAGACTGTTCAGTGCTGAGCTGAATCTAGCTGGTAAGTTGTAGGAAATTTAAAACAAGTACCTACACACTTTTCTTTTTAATTTAATAAGCACATGATTAGAAGAAGCATTTCATTACAGCTTTAATGTATTCAGTAGCATTCCAGAGCAAGGACACATCTCTTTCAAAAGTGGCTGTAAATTTTTAGGTTCACAGGTGAATTAATACAGTTATATAATACTGAACTAAGTATAAACCATGTAAGACATAAAATTGAATGAGTTTTTACCCTTTAAAGAAGATCTCAATTTTAAAATACGCTGTTTCCTACATTTTTAATGCTACTAACCAGATGTTTGCACATGACTACTCTCTATGTATCTAATGATTACTAGTCACAGTCGGTTACACTCAGATCCTTAGTACCTGAGTTTGGATATAAAGTCATCAGGCAGATTTCCCTGGTAACATTTATCACCTCTACATTTTAACATGAGGTGGATTTTTATGCTTCCTCCTCAAATATGCTTTTTTTTTTTTTAATTTGTTGATTTGTGTGTGTGTGTGTGTGTATCATACAGAACATCCCACACAATCTTATCTATATACCCACTTCCCAAATGGTACCCTCCCACAAACTGGGGCCCATATACTCTGTCAAACCTGTTACTGCCCACTGTGTTGTTGGCACCCCCAGCATTCCCCAGTGCTTGTCTGCTGAATCTAGTCCCTCTGGTTTTCTAAAACTAGTCATCATTTATCTCTCACATTGTCTAACCCTTCCACCATGGTGTCCCCATTTAAGGTGCCCCTGTTTTTCCCATTTCTTCTTTAATAATATCCTCCTGTGGTCCCACCTCTTGAGCTCCTTTCCCTTTATCCCCTAGGTTCCTTGTATAACCTTCCCTCCCCATCCCCTTAACCCCATTTTTATCCATATCTCCCTTGTTAACACCTGTTTTCTGCTGGGTTTTTTTTTTTTTTTTTTTTAGATTCTTTTCCTTTACCTCCCTGGTTCCTTTTCATTATATTAGTTCCTGTAGTTATGTCTGGATACAAACTCACTTAAAAGGATTTGGTGCTAGGATCCACATACGCAGAAGAACATATGTCTTTTTTTTTTTTTTTTTCCTGAGTCTATCACTTAGTATAACGGTTTCTAGTTCCATCCATTTACCTAAAAGTTTCATGATTTCATCTTTCTTTACTGCTGAGTAAAACTCCATCGTATAAATGAACCACATTTTCATTATCCACTCGTCAGTTGAGGGACAGGTTGCTTCCGTCTCTTAGCTAATGTGAAAAGAGCAGCAACAAATATGGATGTACAAGTGTCTGCAATAGGATGAGTTCTTTGGGTATATGCCAAGGAGTGGTATAACTAGGTCAAACGGTAGATTCATTTGTAGTTTTAAAGAGTTCACACTGCTTTCCATAGGGGTTGAACCAGTTTGCAGCCCCACCAGCAGTGGATGAGTGTTCCCCTTTCCCCACATCCTCTCCAACATTTGGTATCATTTGTTCTCTTGATCTTAGCCAGTCTGACTGGGGTAAGATGAAATCTTAAAGTGGTTTTAATTTCCATTTCCCTAAATATTAGTGATGTTGAACATCTTTTAAGATGCTTTTTAGCATCTTCTTTTGAGAACTCTCTGTTCAGCTCCTTAGCCCATCTTTTAATTGGGTTACTTGCTTTCTTGATTCTTTGTTTTTTTTAGTTCATTGTATATCCTGGATGTTAAACCTCTGTCAGACGTGTCACTGGTGAAGGTTTTCTCCCACTCTGGGCTTTCTTGTCACTTCCTTGGTTCCTTCTTTTGATGTACAAAAGCTTTTTAGTTTAATGAGGTCCCATTTGTTGATTCTTGACCTCACTTCCTGTTAAGTTGATGTCCGGTTTAGAAAATCCTTTCCTATACCTATATCTTGTAGGTTATTGCCAGTGTTTTCTTCTATCAGTTTCAGAGTTTCGGGCTTCATATTGAGGTCTTTGATCCATTTGGAATTGACTTTTGTGCAAGGTGAAAGGGATTTAGATTCTATTTGTCTACAGGTAGAGATCCAGTTTTGCCAGCACCATTTGCTGAACATGCTGTCTTTCCTCCAGTGAATGTTCTTGGCCCCTTTGTCAAATATCAGGTGGCTGAAATTGCATGTGTTCATATTTGGGTCTTCAATTGACTATAGCTCTGTAATACAGTTTAATATCTGGTATAGTAATAGCCCCAGCATTGCTCTTAGTGCTCAGGGTTGCTTTGGCTATCTGAGGTCTTTTGTGCTTCCATATGAATCTTAGGATGTTTTTTTTCCAATTCTGTGAAAAATGTCATGGGGATTTTGATTGGCATTGCATTGAATCTATAAATGGCTTTTGGTAGGATGGTCATTTTCACAATATTAATTCTTCCAATCCATGCACATGGGAGGTCCTTCCATCTTCTGATGTCTTCCTCGATCTCTTTCTTTAAGGATTTAAAATTTTCATTGTAGAGGTCTTTAATGTCTTTGGTCAGGTTTATTCCAAGATTTTTTGTTTGTTTGTTTGTTTGTTTTTTGCAGCTATTATGAAGGGGAATGCTTCCATGTACTCTTACTCTGATTGTTTGTTATTGGTATATAGAAAGGCTACAGACTCTTATAGATTAATTTTGTAACCTGCCACTTTACTAAACGTGTTTGTAATTTCTAGGAGTTTTCTGGTGGAATTTTTGGCATCTCAGATATAATATATCATACCATCTGCAAAAGGGATAATTTGATCTCTTCTTTTCTAATTATTCTTCCTTTAATTTCTTTCTCTTGTCTTATTGCTCTTGCAAGAGCTTCAAGCACTATGTTAAAGAAGAG